GAGAAGAGGACAACAAACGAGGGGCTGTGACAAACTGTTTCGTCGGAGTTTCACCGACTCATCAGGAGGCTGAACCCTCAACAGTCTGTAGAATCCCCTCACTGATTACACTGCAAGTGATAATCCACCTTGACCAAAATCAAAGTAGACTATCACTCACCATATATCGTCACAAACAGAACTGCCCGGTAAAACCGTAGGCAGAGAGAGAGAAGAGGACAACAAACGAGGGGCTGTGACAAACTGTTTCACCATATATATATATTTGCGCACCTGGCGCATCTTCCACAGCGCGCGCACTGTGCACTGCACACTGCGTACAGCGCACAGTGCGCATGCTGGAATTCCAGCGCACCGCACCGCACCGCCCTGCGCTGCGCACTGGTGCGCCGCAAGTATGCTCTGGACATGTGCAAAAACAGGGTGAATCTTCCGCTAGAACATGGAAAAGATACACCGCATTGATTTGTGTCTTATGTGCATGTCGAGAGTAGTGGAGCGAGGCCCATTCTCATGTTGGAGTCGAACATGAAAAGATACACCACCATTTTTTTTTGTCTTTTGTGCAGCTCACGCCACTCACTGAAAGTGCAGAACCAGAATGAATCATAGGCTTGAACACGCCACTTTACAAAAGACAAAAATATGGTTCCGTATCATCCCGTGTTCTACAAGAAGATTCATTCTCATTTTGCAAATTTGGTGAGCAGTAGTGAGGCCCGCACACTGGCACTTCGACGGTCCCGCTACTCACCGAACGTGCAAAATGAGAATGAACCTTCAACTGGAACATGGGAAGGTACACCACCAAATGCGGCTTGGCCTGCTTGGTATTCACAATTTTTATTTTTATTTTTATTTTTTTGCTTCTTCAGATGCGGCGGGCATCTAATTGTTTTTTTAATGTGTCAAACAATACCGTGAGAGGCACGCACACCAGTGCAAATAACGGGAGTTGAACCCGTGTTTTAGAATTCACAATCTGACAGTGGAGAAGAAGGAAGAGGAGACAGCAATAAAGAGAAATAGTAAAGAAAACAAATACAGGCACATATATCTATACAAATAGGCCCCGGGCCATTCGTGTAATACATTACGGGGAAAGTACATTAAACAACCAGAACTTGGCCCATACATGGGCCGCGGGCTTGTCCGGTAGCGCCCGAGCTACCAGTGGGTCGGGCAGTGAACACCCGGTCGCACTGAAAGGAGGTGAAAAAACAGAAGGGAAAAGAAAACAAAACAAAATAGCTGTCTGAGAGGCCGTGCTCACGCTGGTAGAGTACGAACTGAATCTTTCTACTAAAACTGGTGATATTCTCCATTTGTTTTTTTGTTTTTTTTTCCCCTCCTTTTCATTTTCTTTTAGTCCCCTGCCAGCGAGGCAGGGCGTGGTCCATGATCTGCTCTACCGCCCTCATTGACAGCATACTCACACTAGGACATTGAAGAATGTATCCAACCAATATCAGGGCCAAAGGGGTGTTTCTTTTTTTTTGGTCTTCTTTTATTTTGTAGATTCTGACAACAAAACGACGTTTCTTTTCTTTTTGTCTTCTTGTACTATCTACATTCTGCCAACGAGTTAACGAGGCCCCTCACTAGGGGCATGCTCACACTACCACTTGCGAGAATGTATCGAACTGCATTCACGTCCCTGGGATTGTTTCTTTTTTTTTTCGTTTTTTTTTTAATGCTACTGACTCTTCCAGGGACGGGCTGTCCTGCTACTGGTACGGACAGGCTCGGCCGGCTCCGCATACCGGTCGCCCAAGGGTTGGCCTGCATAGCTGGCCCAAGCACTGGTGGTTTAACAGCCTCCTCAGGCCTGGAAAATGCAGAAACTAGGCCGGTCAGAACGAACCTGCACACAAAGTTTGTCCAAATGCATGATCCGTACGTCATTGCAGAGATGCCCCGGTGCACATTCTAATGGGCTATTTATTCCCTTCACCCATTCATGAATACGACCCAACCCATTCATCCCCCATCATAAATTTGACTCCCGTACTTAATGACCCCTAAGTGACTCCCCCACCCTCTCTTCTAAGCTTATGAACCCCAATCTATCCACGACCGTGAACCACCACCACTGACAAATATCCCTTCTTTGAGAAAACAAAAATGATAAAGCCAACCTGATAAGCCGTCAATAGAATGCCGGGAACACAACCATCCACCTTGTGCATGAGCAAAAGCAACACCGATGCGAATCCCAAAAACAAGAGGGCTGTTCGATCCTGCAAAAGCGACGACGGCAGAGCCAACCACCCACCCACCCACAGCGCAATCACTTTAAGTGAAGCTACAGAACAAACAAACAGAGAGAAAGAGAGAGAGAGAAAAAAATGGAATGAATACAAAATGGCCCTATACTGCTCTGACAAACGTCTGTCTCTTATACACATCTGGCGGTGTATCTTTCCATGTTCTAAAGGTGGATTCATTGGGCCTCGCTCCACTACTCTGGACCATAGTTGCGGCGCACCGCGGACTTGCGCACACGCAGCGCACCAGAAAAATCAAGGTCAAAAAAAAAAAAAAAAAAAAAAAGTAGGGGTTCCATAATTCCTACGGCACCCTCCCTGGAAAAAATGTCCAACTCGCCGCGCGAGTTCAGAAAATGTCCGCGCCCCTTGGCCCAAAAAACTTTTTTTGGGCAAGGGTTGCCGAATTCTGAATTCTGTAGGCTGCTACCCCACAAATTTCAAAATTGCCGATTATGAAAATAGGGCTCATTGCGCCTCTAGGGTTTACTTTTTGGGTGGGGTACGATAACTGGACTTCCCCTTTCCTTCCGCAAATCCCACGCAGAGGTGGATAAATTTGCAAGAAGGGTATCATTGCCCAGTATTGCCGTGGTCACGCTGTCTAGCAGATGGCACACGTAATGTTTGCTGAGTTCAGCCGACCACCAATATATGCTGAAGTTTGGCGTTCAGGTCTGCATGTCCGCAGTTATGGGTTAGGAGTAAGATGCCCGTAGCTCTCTCGTTTTTTCTTTTTGTTTTCTTCTGAATACGTACAGTGGCCGTGAAGATGCCTGTAGCTCTCTCGTTTTTTCCTTTTCGTATTCTTCTGAATACGTACAGTGGCCCAAGGGGCCTCTGGCCACTACTCACCACATCCACAAAAGACATACCATATGACGGTGTATGGCTCCATGTTTTAGCAGCAGATTCATTCAGATGTTTTTCATTCGGTGAGTACCACTGAGGGGTGGAGCTAGGCCCTGAGAATCACGTGGAGACACGAACAGGGTCTAGCTGAATTGCTGACCCATAACTCCCGAGCTACAGACCTGAACTCGCCCCCACAGAATATATTGGTGGTCTGCTCCCACCTCTCTCATCGTGACGCGGCCACCCTGCTTGCTGAAGCGACCATAACCAATCCCTCCACAATGCCGAAGTGCTGAAGTGTGTTGTGAAGGGCATTGCTCGAGTCATATGAGTTGCCTGCAGGGGCCCCTAAATTGACAAAAAGCCTTGAAAAAGGGAACCCTTTGGTCTGTCTCTCTCTCTCTCTCTCTCTCTCTCTCTCTCTCTCTCTCTCTTTGTGGCACAAATAAATGTTTTATTTATTCTTTTTTCTTTTTTCTTTTTTTTATTATATATATTATATATCGTCAAATAGAACTGCCCGGTAAACCGTAGGCAGAGAGGGAGAAGAGGACAACAAATGAGGGGCTGTGACAAACTGTTTCGTCGGAGTTTCACCGACTCATCAGGAGGCTATATATACATATACATATATATAGGACTATATACCGTCACAAATAGAACTGCCCGGTAAACCGTAGGCAGAGAGAGAGAAGAGGACAACAAACGAGGGGCTGTGACAAACTGTTTCGTCGGAGTTTCATATAT